TTATTTTTAAAAATAAAATTTTGTCAAAAAATATTTTCTCTGTACGAATACTTTTTGCATTCACTGTATGTATATTACGCATAAGTTAGTTTAAAATAGAAAGGAAAATGAATCAGAATTATTGAGTGTGGAAAAGAGACAATAGCTGAGATATTTTATATGTAAAATGTGTATGAGAATAATTGTTAAAGTAGCAAGAAATATTTGATTATATAAAAACGTGTTCAATATAACTAAATTATTAATTTATTTATTTGACTTACGAGGTATTTTACAACTTGAATCGCATTTTCGTGTTATATCTATATGGAATACAAAAAAGAGGATATCTTATCTTATAATATATTAAATTTTTTCTTTTTGCTGTTATGTACAATATATTTTTTTACACAAATGAAAGAAGATCTACAGCTACTTCTATTAATTTTTATAATCTAATTTCATAAATAGTTTTATTTTAATTGCAATTTAACTTTTTTAATTTTTAAATAAGAAGATGAATGAATATAAGTTTGCACAGATTTTTACGATAAGATTTATTTGTAGTATTTATTGTTCTTTATTCTTCTTCCGTTAGCAGAACGTTCGTTTTTATGACTCCCATCGGCATCTGTAGAACTACATCTCTAGAGAAACGAGAATCGTTCAGCCGCAAAAAATTAGTTAGGACAACGACACTCGAACGATTCTCTGACGTCACGATTGATATTTCGTTAGTAAGCTAAAATCAAATCGGTATTGCTCTTGACAGGCGGCCCGTAGACGCATTTAAAGCCATAAGATTACATCGGTTCTCTCTCACGTCAATTACGTTTTCTTGCTCTAGTAATTTCTCGCTCGCAGGCGAAACAGATTTATTTACAGCTCTGATTGTTTTTTCATCATGTTTATAAACGAGAAGAAGAAATAAATGAATTGATGAATTATGATAATATTCTATCCCTTTTTTATTGTTTTTCTTGATGATTGAAAAAAATATAAAGCGCTTCAGAATATAAAGTATTTAGTAGCGTATGTCAATAATGTTGTAATATTATTATATTATTAATATTATTATT